TACCAAAACACCAACTCCGTTCTGCCGGGCGGGCGTACCCGGTTCACGACTTGGAACTTCTCTCCATGAAGTACGCCCTCACCAAGTTCTGAATCTACCTCCTCGGCGGTAAGCCCTTCGTGGTTTACACCGATCATGCGTCCTTACACACGGCGACCAACACACCACACATTTCGCAGCGCATGGCGCGCTGGACTTCATTCTTCGCCGAGGTCACCTTCTCGGTCCAGTACAAGCCCAGGAAAGACAACATCCTGGCCGACGCCCTGTCTCGACGTCCCGATCTCGAACTGACGACGATCGGTCTTTTGTCGTCCGGTCTCCACGACCGGATCCGCGCGGCGTACCCCCTTGACGCCGACTGTTCATCGTGCCTGGCGGCGCTCACTGACCCAGTCTCCCCCAAACCCCGCCGCCGATTAACCACGCGACCGCGACCGTGGGATCGCGATAGATAGCGACGGGTCGACGGTTCGCTGTGCGAGCCGGGCCAACTACAACTAGGCATTCAGAAGACTCCATCAAGCAGACCTTACCTCGGGTTCGCGCCGCATATTTACGCGGGCGGCGATCCGCGCGACAGACCGAGCGTCCAATCGCCCATGCTTCTGTCGCCGTACCCTGGCGAAATTAGACAGCGAGTTGGCCAACCGCCCCGCTGTCAACGGCAGTTGCCCATGCCGCCCGCTGCCTTGCCCGATAAGCGTCCACACAAACTCTACTAGGTACTCAAGCAATGTCTCGTCATTGCAAAGCTCGATCCGCCCCACGTCTACAGTCCAGCGCTCAAGGCGCTCCCGTTCATACAACTCTCGCATGGCGCCTTTGAACTCATCGAACCGGTGAAAACTCACCCTCGCAAGCTGCATGCCTTCCAAGACCAGCAGCATCCACAACACCCGCAGCTGGCAAACAAGCGCAGGTACCGCTCCACGGCGGCAACGTTGGTCGTCCGATACCCCCAGTCATTGCGAGTTTCGTCAAACTAGTTCACCACAGTCAAGCGGCGCGTAATGTCGCGCACGTAGTCCAAGTCCACGCCGGCCCACCCGGCAGGCGTGAAAATCCGCGAGCGATCCCAATGGAAACCCAACTCTCGCTCAAACACTTTATCTCGAGCGAGGCCGGCCCGCTCCGGTTCGCCACCTTCGTCTTTCACTTTCGCCTCCGTCCTTTACGGCGGCTCCCTTAGCGCTCGTTTTCCCTTGCTTTCCACCATCACCCGCTGGTGTCTCCGCCACACCTCCGCTGGCCGCCTTTGTCGCTGCTTCAGCAGCTTTTGCTGCCGCCGCTGCGATTGCCTTCGCCTCTTCGGCCACGATCGACATGGACCCATGGGACACCTTGGGCACCTTGCAATCGCAGCAAAGCTGCTGACGAGGAGTCGAAAGAGGCACGTGGGACTTGTTTGAGACAGTAAAGGCTGTTTTGAAGTAGGCAGACAAAGTCGCGCCGAGAAGCAGGGTCGATGACGGAGTCAGAAGGTTGTTCGATGCGTATAACCGAAGTCGATTTTGCCATTGAAAAGGGCAATTTTGACGCCCATTTAGCTCGTATTCCAAGTCATGGATGACCACTAAGGCAAACAGAAACGAAGAACTTCGAGTCGTACAACAGGAGCAAAAATGTCCGTGTAGTCGATGTCATCTTGTTCCATGAACCCTTTGACAAGTCGGGCCTTGTATGTTGGTGCCATCTGCTTTGAGTCGAAAGACCCAGCGATATGGTAGAACCGTCTCGTTATGACGACGTTTGACCAACATATAAGTGTGGTTGTAGAGTAAAAATTAGTATTCGGAATTGGCAGCAAGAAGCTATTTGTCGTGATCCGGGCGGGACATGGCGTCTCGCCAGTCTTTGTGGGTTGTTGTTGT